TTTGTCTACTTGTATGAATCAGCACATTATCTTGCTAAAAAAAATACTTCCCATTCTCCTCTTTAAATTCTTCTAAAAATTGTATTAAATAGTAGCCAAGAAGTTTTTTTATATATCTATCACTATTTATCTGTCTATCAATCCTTACTAAAGAATCCAACCCATACTATGAAAAATACCCCACATTATAATTCCACCTCTGTCATATTTTACCGTTAAAATAAAGCAATTAATATCATATTTTTCCTTTAGGAAATGCTAAACACGAATTTTTTTATCATTTTTGTATAAGATAACCTTGATTTATTGTTTCAAACAATTCTTTTTCAATAATTTATTATTCAAGTATGTCTTTCTTAAGACTATTTTAATCGAAAATATCTATTTGTTTCACTTATGTAAGACTTTCGAAGGTAATTTGACTATGGTATTCAAGTTCATAAAGTGCACTTCACATAGTATTTATACATACTTCCTTTTCAGTTGAATTAGTAAAAATTTCTCATATTTTTTCTGCTAGTTCATACCTTTCTTTACTAATAATAAACTTTAGATGCCATTTATCCTGTTCATCTAATTTTTTTGATCACCTACTTCGAAGAGTAATAGTAAAAGTATCTGTTTTACAATATTTTAATATTGCATTATAGATAGCTATTTTAGAACAGCCTGTTTTTTCAGATATGATCCTCTCAGAGTCTCCTGCTTGGTAAAAACCAATAATCTTTTCACGTTCAAATTCTGTAAGCTGTTTTTTTTAGCTATAAATAAAGAAAATATTAAGAAAAAAGCTAAATAACGTGAAAAAAGATAGAAAAAAGGTATGAAGTGATCATCTGATTATTGCATCATAATAAATATTTATAGCAATTTTAAGTAATTTTTTAATGATTGATAAATTACAGGATGATCTTAAACTTTTTGATAAGGAGTGTACTTTAAAAAGAAGTGACATTCTGAAAATATTTCTAAAAATTTAAGATAGTTAAATGATGTATTATTTTAAAAAAAAATAAAAAAGAAATTAATAAATTTACTAGTTTTCAGTATGATTAACAATTTAAAATATTTTCTTTTCTTTAAATTCAATATAATTAATGAAAAATATTTTTTTTATTAAAATTTTTTTAAGTTTTAATATGATGAATAAAAATATTTTTTTTATATACTGCCCTATATTAAATTATTAGATTTTAGTCATATGAATTGGCATATCAGTTTCACAATAAGCATTTTTTTTCCATTATGCATAAAAAAATTTTTTTAAAATAAAATATTTTTATACTTCTCTTTTAATATTAAAATGTGTAAAAATAAGCTAACAAGTATACAGCACAAAAGAATTATTAGTGCATACATCAGACAAAAAGTTATTTCAGCTCAACTAAATATTTTCCCTAATACAGTAAATGATATAATTAAAAAATATAAAATAATAAGTTCTGCAAATTTGAGAAATATTTTGGTTGACCAAAAATGTTTACTCAATATGATAATTAGGTCTTACAATGTATTATTTTAATAATCAGTTTGCTCCTCTTGAATAATCTAAATTCTAGGCTTAATACTACTTTGCATTTTAATACTGTTAGAAAATACCTTTATTATGAAGGTTTAAGTAGTTATGCTACTCGTAAAAAATCTCATTTAACTATAAAATAATAAAAAAACAGATTTAAATAGAGCAAGAAAAAATGTAATTGGGAAAAGAAATAAAAGTAAGTGGTATAGTTGGATGAGTCTAAGTTTGCTCTTTTTGAATCAGATAGCTATATAAGAGTTTAGAGGAGTCCTAAAGAAGCTTATAATCAAAACTGTATTAACTTGCAGTTAAATTTGATGGGAGATCAGTAATGTTTTGGGGTTATTTTAGTTGACATGGAGTTATACCTCTGGTTATAGTAAAAGAAAGTATGAATTTAGATGATTATGTTAATATCCTTGCTAATTCTTTTATACCTTAGGTTAGTAATTATCCTAGTTCTATATTTTAACAAGATGAAGCATCCTGTCATACATCTTTATATAGTGTTTAGTAAATGTTAACACATAATATTTCAATTTTAGATTGGATAGCATAAAGTCTAGATTTAAATCCAATTGAAAATTTGTGAAACTATTTAGATTATCAAATTTGAAAAGAAAATCTTTATCTACATCAAAATAAGAGTTAATTGATGCTATAAAAAAAGAATAAAAAAATTAATTTAGAAACATTACATCACTTAATTTTAAGTTTACATATTCAGGTCAAAGTAGTAATTAAAGCTAAAGATGAACACACTAAATACTAATCTGAAAATTTTAAAATTTTAAATAGTAGAAATGTAAATGCAAAAGTTTTATTTTGATAAAAAATTTTTATCAATTTATTAATAAAAAAATTTTTTTGCATGATTGTAAAAAAAACCGAATTTTATATGTAATTTCTATATATAGTAAAAAAATCTGGTAATTTAATATAGGGCAGTGTATTTCTTTAAGTTTCAGCATAACAGACTTGTGAAATTCAAAAAAAGAAAAATATTTAGGTTTGACACAGTAGAGACAAAAATATTCTTTTTTTATATTTCTTTAAATTTCATATGAAATTTAAATTAAATATTTTTTTTTTTATTAATTATAGAGTTTTGACATAATAGAGATAAAAAAATTTATATATATATTTTTTAGAATAATATCAGACATGAATAATATATATAGAATACGAATAACGTTGTCTTAAGCAAAACCTACAGATATTATCTGTATATAATATTGTCATCAGGTATCAATATGTAATAGTCATAAAGTATAAAATAATCCTTTTTTATAGCACATTTACGCAAGAGAATTGCATATTATAAAAATCAAACGCTATAATCTAAAAGACTCTGATTTGATCTACCAATAAGTTCACTCTTAATAAATTTACTACGCTTCATCGCTTTATCTAATTATGCACAGTTTAACATTATTCGACTTTTCTGAGAGTATGTCATTTTTGGCTTTAATTGCTATTCTTTTATACATCAGTCCAATAATAATCAAACAAAAAAACTCTGACGAACCCTCTATTAAAATCATTAATAATTTTGATGTAAAAATTAATACATCAGAAATTAATACAATCTTAATTTTTCTTTTACTGTGAAACGTGCTGAAATCAATAGTAAATTTACTGTAAAAGCTAAAAAAAAATCAAGGCATGTAATAATGACTTTACTAAGAAGGCGTAGAAAATCTTTTCAATAATTAATAGTATTATTGAAGCCTGCTGTAATGATTTTACCTTAGTTAATACTTTTAATTGAAGTTCTTCAAAACGGATTAATTCAATGTTATACAATTACGCAAAGAGTTCAATCAGTTGAAGCTAATAAATTTTTGAACCAATCATGAACAAGTCCTTCGAAAGTCCTTCTGATATATAAGCGAAATGTGAAATAGAAAATAGTTTATTAATAGATTATATCTTACTAATATATTTCCCTTGCAGGTAGGTTCAAATCCAATAATATTAAGGGTATAAGCTTAACTATATGGGCCCATTTCAAGTAAATTTAAGGCTGAAAAAAATTTTAACTTAGAAGAAATGTTCAATGAAGATCCGTAATTAGGAGGAAATATTAAGAAAGTTACGGTTAAAGGGTTTTATGAGAGAAATATCAAAAAGAAAGATGGTACATTTGCACTTTAGACGATATTTGTTTATGGATAGATAACAAACTAAATAATAACAGATAATAATGCCACTACCGATTTCATTTTTCATTTTACATGGCCAGCTGGCTTTTTTCATATCATTCAAAAATATAATAAAGATCTTTAAATTTTTAAACGAATTTGCGCGTTTAGTGTATATAATCATAAATATAAATTTTAAGTCTTAAGTGCTACAGCAATAAAAATTTTTATTGATAAAAATAAATGCAGTGATACGACCTATTCATGCAAATGCAAAGTAAAACTTATCTACAGTATCTGACCTCTTAACAGAGAAAGCGTTCTTTTTTTTTTGATGAAGTAGATAGACATTCTTCAGCTTATATCAGTCAATTAGCTTGTAAAATAGCCAAGTTGTTGAAGCAAATAATAAAATGACTTACGTTGCCTCTTCTTCGAGTGCATTCTACCAGTTTTCCACCAGTACTTGCGATATCTTTTCAGTTCGCCGGTCTCAAAGACATCGAAAATGGATGTAAAAGAGGTGGGTACTTTGACTAGTTGACATATTTCTCAGAATAGCAAAATCGTCGTTTCCGTATAAAGTTGTCTAAAAATCTTTGATCAACAAAAATTTTGTCATGTGAGATCGATCACCTGAAATGCGCCAGAATCACATATATTCACATTTTTTTCTAAGTGGGGCTTTTTTTTAACTTTATACTACTAAATTACCCACGAAGAGAAGAGAAGCAACAATCAGGAGGGTCGCGCGCTTATTATTTTTTGGGGGAGGCATTATCCCGGCGCCTTGACCATAAAAAAGTAAATGAGGAGCACGAGGCCCAAATAATGGTCAATGAAGAAGTCAGGGAACAGCTTCCAAAGGAAGTGACAGATTGCGCTTCGGGAGAAAGCAGGAAGGGCTCGGAAAATTTATGATCTTTTCCGTCGTATCGGATCTGATAAGATACGAGTAAGAGAAGTATGTCGTTTAAGGCACTTTGCACAGCATATCACGTAATCTCATTGTCTCCCTTTTTTACTGATGTATTATTTTGTTTAGCGTCTAGCGACATCGTCTATTGAAAAGTTTGCTGATGGAGAAATAGATCATCCAAGAAAGAGGTAAAATGTCGTAATACAATGATTTCCGTGATTTGTTCAGTATATTTTCGTTTTTATTAGGTCATTGTCACATGAAGTCTTTTTACTTATTTTTTGATTGATTTTATGTCTATTGAAAGTTTGCTGATGAAAGAGGTAAAAATATTGATTTGTTACAGTATATTGTCGTATTTATTTGGTAATTGTCACGTGAAAGTTTTTTTTACTTATTTATTGAATGATTTATGATGTTTACAGAAAAATTTTTGCTCAAACCTTTTTCGCGACCTTTTTCGTTCTCTTTGCTAACAATGGGTAAGTGTAAAATCTTACTATTATGTTGAGTAGTTATTAGTTTATGAGGCATTATCGTCACTCTTTATAGAGTTTATCGTCGCTCCTCGTGAGCTTATCGTCGCTCTTCGTGAGCTTATCGTCGCTCCTCGTGAGCTTATCGTCGCTCCTCGTGAGCTTATCGTCGCTCCTCGTGAGCTTATCG